AGATAGTCCATCAATAGTCTGGGGACAATGTTTTTGGTGTTCTTTTCGAATTGATGTTTTTTTGAATATGTTTGGTGTATTTTTTGGTATGTTTTATTTTTCGTCCCAACTCCCCCTGTAAGTAGGGGGACAGGCCCGACTTATCAGTTCGTCCGCTGCAGTCTCGGCCGCCCTCGCGCTGTGAACCAGTCACGACGCGGCAGGCTTTCCGCCATCCTCGGACTCCGGGGGCCTCCTGTGCTGGGCCTCGGGGCCGATTACAAAGTCGGGGCGCTGAAGAAGGAACCCTTTTCGTTGGGGAGGGGCTCGGTGTTCCTTGATTGTTCTGCAGTTTGCCTTGGATTTTCCTTAGGTTTTCCATGGGAAATCGAATTTTCACTTATAGGCCCCGTTCGTTGTTTAGGGTTCCTTAGGTCAACGCCCCGACTGTACAAGCGACTTGGGAGGAAGAACCGGACCCTTGGAAGGGGTCCAGACATCTGTGGGTTCTCAGGGGCAACGATAGGGGGGGATAGGCATAGGGGGGGATGCATCCACCCCCTCGCCCGTTGATCGCCCATAGGGGCCCGATAGCCCCAACCTGCCCAGGAAGGTGCGGATTCACCACTGGAGGCCTATCGCCGATCTATCGACGATGTATCGCCGATTCCAGGTCGATGCATCCCCCCCCCTGTGCCCATCCCCCCCGATCGTTGCCCCTCAGTCTGGACGCCCGAAATTGGTACGGAAAGAGTGGGTACGATGCCCAACAGCGGTTCCTGTTCATTGTGAGCAGGGCTCGCTGTCCACGCCGCCGCGGCCTGTGTCCGTTCGAGACAGAAGGCCGCCTGCCCAGCAGCGGCCGCAGTTGGTTTGGGACAACATTTGTTGTTGGGCATTGTACCCATTTTTTCCGTACCCATTTCGGTTCGTCCAAACTCCTCCTCCTCCTCCTCCTCCTCCTCCTCCTCCTCCTCCTCCTCCTCCTCCTCCTCCTCCTCCTCCTCCTCCTCCTCCTCCTCCTCCTCCTCCTCCTCCTCCTCCTCCTCCTCCCCCCCCCTCCCGGCCGCGGCGCGCCCCGGAGGCGCTGCCGGTGTCCGCCGCCTGCGGGGCGCCGGCGGCCCCGGCGCAGGCCGCGCGCGCGCGCGGCGGAGCGGCGGCCCGCGGCGGCCCGAGGGGCCCGACGCGGGGCGGGGCGTGCTGCAAGTCGGGCCTGTGCTCCTGCAGTGCCGTTTTTTTAAATACGTGCTCCGCGTGCGGACCATGTGTTGAAATGCAGGGATTCAGCATCAGAAACAACGATGAGGTCATGCATGAAGTCATTCATAAATCAATCATGTATTCAAAATTCCAAATTTTGACAAATCCTATGTATTAAAAACTGCCCTGTACAGGCGGATGTGGGACGAGCAGCAAAGAATACCAGAAGCGCGCGCCAGAAATAGCTGCAGAAGTGGTACAAAAAGTCCTCCACGGATTATGGTTCTGGCTATTCGTAGTGGTCCTCATGTAGAGGGACAGGCCCGACTTAAACCTTGACCTACAGGGGGGTCCAGCTGGAAGGGGGGGGTGGGAATTGATCTTGAGCATCAGGTTTGTGGGGTTGCAAGAGGTCTGGGGCGTGCAGTACATACGTAGGTGCGCAAGTGTACTGCTGGACTTTTCGCGTGCAATGCAGTAAAAGCAATGCAATGCATTTTGATTTTTTCTGGCGCAATGCATGTGCAAGGCAATTGCCCCAGGCCTGTTGCGCCACCCCCCCTTCAGCTGGACGCCCCCTTTCTGGGGTCAACCAAGGCTCGTGGAGCGCGGGGCGGCCCGCGAGGTCGTGGCCCACGGCGCCCCCGGGGGGGTCCTCGGTTCTGGGGCTCCGAGCGTAGGTCGGAGGGCTGGGTAGGATGTCAGCGAGCGTGGCGAGCGTCCGCGCCACCCTTTGTGCTGTTCAAGCGGCCGGTGCTCCGAGAGGGCCCTCAGACGGTCAAAGGGCTGCGAGACGCCCCAAGACGGCCCAAACAGGGGCCGAGGCATCCCAAGAGGGTGCCAACACGTCCCAAAAGGCCCCCCCCGCCGAAGCCCACACGAAGCCCCAGAGACGTCAAGTAACACCATGGCTGCCAACAGCGAGTGGTGACGTAACAAGCTCTTAACACGAAGGCTCCCCAGAGCGAGGTGACGTAACAAGCTCTTAACAGCAAGTCCACCGAGAGCGAGCGATCCCAACAGAGAGCGGTGACGTAACAAGCTCTCAACACCAAGGCTCCCATGAGCCCTTTCGGGCAAGTTCCTGGTCCGCTCTCTCTGTTTCCGTGCCGGCCCAAGTAACGGAAAGAGCGAGGTACGAGTGATGACGTTCTAGAGAGGGGCGAAGCCTTCTAGGGAGGGGTCCAGGGGAGGGGCGAGGCGGGGGCGACTGGATGTAATGGCCCGTTTCCCTTGTATTTTTTCGAGTGAAGCAGCTTCCGGGCGGCTCCCATGGCCAGAGGGCCCCAAGACGGCCCAAGAGGGTTCCAAAACGAGTTTA